ACTGGTATCATACAAGAATGGAGCTACAGACTAACAGAGCAGAACCACATTCCCCTAAACAGACCCTCGTGTGTGTGGATCCAATGCACAACAGGGAGCCAAAAGCAGCCGTGAGGGGAAGAAGGGTTAGTCAACGGATGGAGCTCGGCCAACTGGTTAGCTTTTGGGGAAAAAAAAATCTATTTAGAGCCTTACCTTACATTAATAAACCAAAATAAATTACAAATGGGTTAAAGAATTAATGATAAAGTATTTTAAATAAAACACTAAAAAACAAAGTCAGTGTGTACAATTTGACTTGTTTCATAGCAATGGAAGACATCACAAAGGAGAAAACTGACATCTGTTCACTTGCAGATAAATTTCTGTACTCAAAAAAGTGATGTAATGTTTGAAAATGTTCACAGTGAAAAGTTAATGGGGTTGGCCCGGTGGCTGAGTGGTTAAGTTCGTGCGTTCCACTTCAGCGGCCCAGGGTTTCACCAGTTCGGATCCTGGGCGCAGACACGGCACCACTCATCAAGCCACGCTGAGGCGGCATCCCACATGCCACAACTAGAAGGACCAACAATTAAAAATATACAACTATGTACCGGGGGGCTTTGGGGAGAAAAAGGAAAAATAAAAAAAAAATCTTTAAAAAGTTAAAAAATATATTAATAAAAAAATGAAAACAGACAGGGAATCACAGCGACAACACATACACAGGACAGCGTTCATGGGTATTTATGTATGGAGAAAGCCCACATACTTAGATAAGATAGCACATCCAGACACAGTGCTCACATGGCCAGCACTGTAGTTTACCTTTTAGTCCTCACAACCACACTATTACTGCCCCCGTGTTACAGGAGAGGAAACTGAGGCAGACCAAAGCAGCAGAGGTTGTTCAAGTAAAACAGCCAGCAATCGGGACTCAGACTCAGGCACTCTGGCTGCAGAGCGGGTGCTCTGGCCGTGACACTAAGCTGTCCCCACCCACATGGCAGTCAACAGAAAGGCGATTCACGAAAAAGGAAGGACAAATGCCTGTCGAACATTTGGGAAAATATTCAATCACTAATAATTAAAGACACGAGAATGTAATAAGATTTACGTTTTCATTCATAAAATTAACAATTGAAAAAACAAAATTACTTAGTGCTAGTTGGGGACTCCACGGCTACACTACGTCACAATCTAACCTGGGACTCTAGGAATTCATTCTGGTCCCCTTCAAAATGTTTTCAAATAGGATTAGGTTACCACCACCTCCCTTTTTAAACCCTTTAGTGGCTACCCATTGCTCCTTGGATAAAGGCCAAGTCCATAAGGAGGCCCACAGGAGGCCCCCACACCCTCGCCAAGCCTACCCTACCAGACTACCAAAGGCACCTTCCATCCTGTTTGCCCAACAACCTCAGACCACTCTTGCAGCCTCGAAAAAGCCAACTCACACACTGTTTTCTCCTCCAGTCTTGTCCCTGTGCCAGAGGGCAGAGGGCACGTAAACCTAGGAAGCTTTCTTCATAATCCTTATCACTATTTGTAGCTGCACGTTCACATTATCATTTGATTAACTGTGATGTCTGTCTCTCCTGAGCAAGTACGAGTCTTGTACCCCCTCAGCCCAGCACACTACTTTGGCTATAGAAGGCACTCAGCAATGAATTTGTCAAATGAATATACATTAATCATTGAATGAAAGAAAGAGGAGGAAGAAAAGGAACAAATGAGGCAAGGAGGAGAAACAGGAACTCCACCATACTGGTGGTAAGACTAAACTGATGGGTTCAACTTTTTACAAAGCAATGGGACAACAGGTGTCAGAAGTCTTAAATATGTTCATAACCTCAGTTAATAGTCAACAATTATTATCAATAATGTAATCCTATTACTATATAGTTACTAATAAATGTAATTAATAATAAAATCATAAAAATCTCCCTTGAGGAATTTAAAACCTAGTACAAAAATTTATGTTGGCTATGCATTGTTTACAATAGCAAAAAACTGAAAACACCTTTGATGTCCAAAACTGGAGGCACGGTCAAGATTCTGGTAGTCATAATTATACAACACATAAAAGCGTTATTTACAGAGCTAATGCCATGGAAGATGTGTGGTTCATAATAAGTGGAACATAAAATTGTAAATAGGGAACAATTTCATCTTTGAGGAAGAATATGCCTAAGTGCAGCTAGCTGACCACCCAGCCTAGAACTACGCCTTCCTCTCCGAGAGCCCTGATTCTGTCCGTGTTCCTCTGAGAAGGCCAGGCTCCCTCTCCAGACCAGAGGGAGGATGGTGACTAGTCTAGTGACTTGGTCTTGGCAATTCCATTACTCTTGCCAATAATATATGATACAACTCTGGCCAACAAAACACAAAAAGAATTCTGCCAGGGACTTTTCTGTGACAAAGGTTCCTTGCTGTGAATGAGCGATGACCTGAGGATGGCAGAGTGGAGGGCTGGGACACTGCTGAGCTGCTCAATCAACCACCCCAGGAACTGCCCTATCTGTGCGCTAACCAACACAGCATCAAACGAAAGACACCAAAATGTTAATGAAGCAGGGTTACCAGTGATTTTATTCATTTTAATAGTTTTCTACAATTTTCAAGTTTTCTATAATAAAGCATCTGATATTCCCAAAATAGGTTAAAAAGTTGCTAAAAACAAAAAGATAAATATGTATTGCATGAATCTTGCCCTTAAGAAATTCAAATCTGGTAATGGAGACAGCCATGTAAATAAACGATTAAAATATGATGTGATATAACCTAATGAGATACTGCCTGATAGCTCTCAGAATGGCTAAAATAAAAAAACTCACCATATCTAATGTTGGTGAGGATATGGAACAAGCAGGACTCTCACCCACTGTCAGACGGAGTAGAAAATGGCACAACCATCTTGGAAAACTTTGGCAGTTTCTTCTAAGGCTAAACATACAACCACCCTGCAACCTAGCAACTATACTCTCGGGTATTCACCAAGGAAAATGGCCACAAAAACACTTCTACAAGAATGTTCATAGAACCAGGGGTAGGGAGAAGGGGAAAGTGGGAGTTGTTGTCTAATGAGTACACAGTTTCAGATTTGCACAATGAAAAAGTTCTAGAGATGTTTCACAATGTCCACATATGTAACACTACTGAATTAAAGTTGGTTAAGATGGTAAATTTCAGATTGTGGGCTTTTTACAATAAATAAAGAAGAAAAAAAAATGTTCATAGAGCTTTATTCTTAATAGCCCCAAACTGGAAACAACCCAAATGTCCACCAACTGACGAATGAATAAACAATTGATGTATATTCATACAGTGGATACTGACACATGCGACACACAAAGTACATATTGTACAATTCCATTTATATGAAATTTTAGGACAGGCAAAACTAATCAATGGTGACAGACATCAGAATAGTGGTGGCCTCTGGGAATAGTGGTGACCAGAAAGGGGCACGAGAGAACTTTCTGGGGTGATGGAAATGTTTTATTTTCTTGATTTGGATGGTGATTAAATAGGTATACACATTTGTCAAAATTCATTGAATGGTACACATAAAATATGTGCTGCTTATTGTACGTAACTATATCTCAGTAAACAAGAGTCTTAGGGAAACAGTACGATAAGGGGACTGGAAGAGGCAAATTCAGCATCGTGGCTACACGCCGAGGAGCTGTTAACGGAAGCAGTGTGCTGCTTTAAACCAGAGCGGGAGCCACAGACAGACGCTGTTTCATGCAGCAATGTATGCAAGTGCTAACAACATTAAAATTATGAGAATTATACATACATTTGAATCAGTTTTATGGAGCAAGCTTCGATATTCTGATAAAGTATTTTAAAAAGGAATAATACATGATACATACACTAAACATCTTTAAAATAAAACATAGACCTTTATGTAATTCAAACTGATTTTATTTAAAACATTACACAATACTTTTATGAAATATTTTGTGAAAATCTGAAATAAAACTGAATATTAGCTTTTTAAAGTAATATGTCAAAAAGCAAACTTAAAATACTAGAATACAGAATAAAGAAAAAACATTTTAAAGCTTACAAGCAAAGGAAGAAATCAAAAAGGACAAAGTTTGTCTACAGAAAAATGAAAAATGAGGTTTTATATGTTTAATGATAAAGCCAAAATTAGATGGCAGACAAATTGGAAAAATATTCACAGCAAATAAAGTTTTTTGTCTGTCTTTTAGAATGAGCACATTATAAAATTATTTTCAGAGAATTTGTATAATTTACTTTTAAAAACACGGTAAGTGAATAGAACATTGAGAATTTAAAAAATGAAAATAAAACAGGTTAATAAGCATACACAAAAAGAGTTCAAAGAATCATAACAAAAGCTGCAAATTAAAACTAGACACCATTTTTCAATGTAGCTAGGATTTTCCCTTTTTGTTGAAACACCTAGACTTGGAGAGGGCAGGCTGAGAGAGAGGCACGGCGATGGGCAGGTATTGCAGTGTAAACTGGTACTCGCTTTTTAGGAAGCAAACCAAGACTAAGCACTAGAAGGGGCTGTTGGAGCTGGGTGCAAGTGGGGCCAGGGCGTTGAGGGGTCAGTGTGGAGGTAAACAACAGCCCTCTTACTTCAAGTCTCTATTGGTATGAAAACTACTTTTTCGTGTTAAAAGAAGAAACAAAAGGGTATTCTGTTGGGGGTTGGATGTGGCACAGGTAGGGTTCCTGAAGATAAGGCACAACGATAACCAGAAAGACGGACCTCAGATCCGGGTTTGGGCTCTCCCTGAGAGACGGTGAAGACCAGCACTTGAGCAACCCCCGTCCTGATGGAGAGAACACGCTCTGGGCCGCTGGTCTCCTGTCCAGCACCGCCAGGCGCCCTGAGGCAGGGCAGCTTAGCCCCAGGGAGCAGGAGCGGGTGCGGGAGAAGCACCTCGAGGACAGCCAACGGAAAGGCCAGGCGCAGATCGGCGTGTGGAACAGGGCTGCGTCGCGGGGAAAACCAAACGACGACGAGAGAGAGATATATATAGTATATTTTATTTTACTTTATGGCTATGACTGTAAAATCCTAAGAAAAGTCAGGAAGGAGTCATACGCTGAGCTATTAGCAGCTCTAGCTCTGGAGGGCAAGATGAGTTGGATGGAGAAGGGTCTCATTTCTTTTATAATTTTCTAATTTGGATTTTTTTTTTAGCCTTTCTTGAGTGTTTTGGTATTTAAAAAGAGAAAAAAAATTTAAGTTCACAGGGCTGGCCCCACGGCCAAGTGGTTAAGTTCGCGTGCTCTGCTTTGGTGGCCCAGGGTTTTGCCGGTTCAGATCCTGGACGCGGACATGGCACCGCTCATCGTGCCATGTTGAGGTGACATGTCACATGCCACAACTAGAAGGACCCACAACTAAAACATACAACTATGTACTGGGGGGATTTGGGGAGAAAAAGCAGAAAATAAAAAAGAAGATTGGCAACAGTTGTTACCTTGGGTGCCAATCTTAAAAAAAAAAAAATTTAAGTTCACAACCCTAGGTCCCAGAACTCCCGTCAAAGAATGCACTGTTACTTCTAAAGGGCTTAGAACAGTGCCTGGCACACTGTCAGTGCTCAAGGAAATGTTTTAAAAATTACTACTCTAAGGAAAAAGACTCAAACTATGGAAAAAACCTTAATATACAACCTATCATACTTCAGAAAGGTTTGAGGGGAATGTAACATCTCACGGGGTGGAATTTCCAGGTGGCTTCTCCTTGGGGCCTGACCCTTGGCTTCCGCAGGTTCAGATGCTCCTGGGGAGAGAGGCTCTGCCTTTCCGGGATGGACCCGCAGTACTCGAGTTTACAGACATTTACAGTGAGAACTGTATTTATCATGCAGATTGGAATCCTCATCAACACGATGTCAGCATTTTCTCCCTGTGGGCAGATTTTCATTCATTCATTTAATAAACATTTATTGAGCACGTACTATGTGCCAGGCATTGTCCTAAGCCCCGAGATACAGTGGTAAACAAAACAAAAATTCCTTTCCTCATTATTTTCATGAAGCGGGCATTCTAGTGAGGAGAGACAGGCAACAAACAAACAAACATACAACGTCAATTGGTTGTAAGTGCTAGGAAAAAAAATAATGCCAGTTAAGGGTGGGAGGTAGGGAATACAAAGCAAAGAGCCCCTCTGTCCTCAAGCGGCTCTCGGTCTAGTGGAGAACCTACCATTAAACAGACAATTACCAACCAGAGATCAAACCCACAATAGGGTTGTGCTTGGGTGTTTCTGTGAGCAGAGAGGAGGTCTAACTCACTGATGGAGGTCAAGGAAGGCTCCTGGGAGGAGAAGCAAGACCTGAATCCATAAGGAAGTCAGTCAGATGAAGCAACCAGGAAAGGGAACCCAAACAGCAGATGGAAAGGAAAGGTGTGGAAGGGATAAAGAGCAAATGATGGATGTCACCACAGAATAATGATGTGGGGATGGACAAACAAAACCAGTGGATTCAATCCAGTTGGAAGGTTCTGGAAAGGCCTCAAAGAAGTGGGATACGAGCGCACATGCATACACATACACATGCACTTGCGATAGTCATCTGCTGTTTTTGCCTGCTTAGTACCACTGTACTTCCCCATCCCACGTGGTTGTGGAGGGGCAGTTCACTCCTTCATCTCAGGAGTGAGCCTGTGACACAGACCTGTCCAATCATGGTATCTCTATCTCCTTGTCCACAGGGCTTAGTTTACAATGCTAGAAGAGAGCTGTAAGGTCACAGGCGTGCGGCTGCCAGTAGTCAGCCTTTTCAGTATGTGTAGAGAAAACAGCAGGAGAGAATGAGGCCAACAAATAAAAAAAAGAGAAAGGCAGGGCTCAGAGAATCCTCATGACATCACTGCAGCCTCACGATCCAACCAATACCCAAAGCGCATCTTTGGACATCCTAGTTAAATGATCAACGGGAGGAAAACGCTTCATTGCTTAGGTCAGTTTACATTAGGTTTCTGCCATTTGCAACTAGATTAATAGACCCTCTTTTTGGGAAACAGCTTCACTGCGTGTGTAGAGGTGGTGGGGTACAGAGGGAAAGGGAGGATAGATTATGGCAGAGGGTTTCCCATTAAGTTAGGTAAAGATGGTGAAACAGGTGGCTTCAAGGTATCTGAGAGGGTACAGAAGCAGCAGCGACAGCTCCTTGGGTGGAGGAACTATGGATGTGTAAGTCACCGTCCACATGGATGGATTATATGAACCTTGTGAGTTTATATAATAATCCACTCTAATAATCCACTATACAGCCCTAAATCATCTTCAGACAGAGAACCAACACAGAATAGCTGATCAAAAACACCAAGAACATCATCTGTTTAAAACCAGCTTACTATTCCCACATTAATGCACATCAGTCACAGAGCTTTCTCAAATATTTAATTTTGCGACAAACTTCATATTTTGAACTTTTATCCCTGATACCAAACAATCATCCATTGTTCGCCAGAAAACTTAACTCAGGCAGCTGGACCCATTATGGTCCAAGTCGAACAGATGTTAAAGCAAAAGAAACTGCTGTATCTCAAGAGATCAGTACAGAAGCCCCAAAGCTCAGATCCTCTTGTTCACATATTTGAAAACTCTAATCAGTTGGTCACAGAAAATAATACCAATCTTGATCTGAAACATAGCTACAAATCTGTAATCCACGAATCAGAAAGACGCTCATACTACAGTCTGGTATAGTATAAAAATAGCCAGCTTAAAGGAGCCTTGTGTATTAACCAGCAGGTCTCTTTTTGGCAAAAACAACAATACTTCAAAATTTTTTCTTCTTTCCAAAGGCATTTACTGAATACCTACTGTGTGCCCACGATCCCAGCACTGTGTGCCCATGAGCCTTTCCTTTTTCTCTGGGTGGAAAAGGCCAAATCTCGGTTCGCACCTGGACAACACTGGGCAAAATGTAAAATAAAAGATAATTTATCACTAGACAAGTTGAGATGTTATTCTCGCAGCAAACACTGGCCTCTAAACTCTGTTTATGCCTCTCTTCCCCCACTACACCAGGTTCACATTGCAAGGACTGCAGCCACTGAGAAAAGGAAAGACCCAAAACCCCACAGAGCCTGAGGGCCTGGGGTCAAGTTCCAGCTCTGCCATTAACTAGTGTTAGGATCTTGGCCAAGCCTCACCTTCCCCATGTGTAAAATGGGGATAATACTTACTTATTGCACTGAGTTGCTGGAGGGATCAAATAAATTAGTGTATGTAAAGTGCTTGGTACAGTGTCAGGCACATAGAAAATGCTCAATAAAGAGAAGTTGTAATTAATAGAATCAAGTGAGGCCTTAACCTCTTTCCAGCTCTAAAATTTTATAAGGTCTACAGTAGAGACATTATGGGTTTTGAGACACCCTCTTCTGCCCCTCCCCCCCCAAGTCTGCTTTATCATATCTGGCAGAATAACAAACAAGCAAAACAGCAAAAACCTCCCTTTCTTCTCAAGCAGCTGTACCAATGGGAAACTTCAGCAAGGCAGCAAGTTCAAGAGCCTGGGTGCTGTGCCCTTACTAATAATAGCTAGACACTTCAGATTCTGACAACGACCTTGCAAGGTAGATATAATTATCCTCATTTTGTAGATAAGACCAAGTAGGAGTAGAGAGGTTAAATAACTCACTCAATGTCACACAACTGGGAAAGGGCAGACCTGATTCCAAAGTTCATGCTCCCTTTCCACTCTATTCTCCTGCCTTCCTGTACAGCAAGCACTAAATGTTTTGTTAAATAACGAAATCATGAAAAAGATACGTCAGGATCTTTGAAACGATGGGAACGCCTTCTTTGGTAAAGAAAGAAGTTGGCATCATCACTCACATTTGCTCGAGAATTTGATGCTCCTGCGTTCTCTGCTCCCAACGACCTGTTCTAGCAATCCGGCCTCCCTCTCCGGCAACAGCCACTGTGTAGGCCTCTGTGCAAATCTCCTCCCTCAGCAGCTTAGGCTCTGCTCCCTCAGCTAACCGCGCGCTGGGACGCCCCCACGCTGCATTTAAAATCCAATGACAGGTATCCCTTTTTGAAAGGCAAGTTTCCCAAACTCTGACAGCAACACGGAACACCTGAGGCACGCTTACCCTCTAGTGGGGCCCAAGAATCACGCCAAGCAGATGAAGGAAGGGGCGGTGACGCAACTGGGCCTCCTGCACCAGGGCCAGCCCAAGGCAGAGCGCGGCGGCCGTGACCCCGCAGCCGGCTCTCGGCGGCGGCCGCCTACGCCTCCCCCGGGTAAGGCACGCCAAGGGCGGCGGGATCATCCCGGGGATGAGGCGCGGGCCAATGCAGCTAGGGCGAGAAGGCGCAACAAGGCGCGGACCTGGGCGAGTCCCAGGCGCCTCGCTCTCCAGTCACTCTTTGAGGCGAGGGAGTTGGCGAGAGGAAACAAGGGCCTTTGGTACCCAGCTGTTCGGCTCCGGCTGGCACGAGCGCCAGAGCATCCGTGCGCAGCGTCAGCCGCCCACAGCCGCGAGCACACACGCACCCCAGCACACGGGCCCCCGCTCCCGCCTCCCAGCAAAGCTGCCCCCCACCCCCCGCATCCCCACCTGGCCCCCTCGGAGCCCACCGGGGCGCCCCCGGCCCCCCCTCCCAGCAGCGCCCGAGACTGGAGAGGCGGCGCGAGCCGGGCGTTCAGGACGGGAAGGTGATGGCGGAGAAGGAAAAAGCCTCTTACCGGGTCTCCTAATTCTGTGGGATACAGCCCGACACCAGAAGCTGCCACTGCCGCCAGGACCCTCCCCCCGCCCTCCCCCACCACGTAGCCCTCTCTACCTTCGGTCGGGAATCAATGGCCCGGTCGCGGATTGGTGACATCATTGGCGCGCCGAGCGTGGGAGGGAGCACCACGTGATTCCTCTCTCTTTTGTTTGCGTCTTAGTTAAGCAGGGTTTTTGTTGTTCTGTCTCGCTTGGGTTTTTTATTGATCTGTTAATGGCGTTGTTATGGGCCCGGTGGGGAGTAGGTACTTGGGTTTGGGATGCTGCATTTTTGCTCATGGCCTTGAGTCAACTCCTCAGATATTCGAAACGTGGCTGGGCCGGAAGGCCTGAGATGGTATGTGGGTACCATCTTTTTTTTTTTTGGTTTTATAAAAGGACCTCAAGGTGGGGCCGGCCTGATAGTAGTGGTTAACACTCTTGGCGTTCATGGGCTTTCAGATCCCAGGCGGGACCTACACACCACTCATCAAGCCATGCTGTGGCAGCATCCCACATATAAAATAGAGGAAGATTGGCAAAGGTGTTAGCTCAGGGACAATCTTCCTCACCGAAACAAAAAAGGACCTCAAGGACACAGAATTAGTTAATAATACACTATAATTAGTAGTCCTTGGATGGCTTGTTTAAATTAATTTATTTTAAAAATGATATATTGAACACCCTTTTTAACTTGCTACCTCACCACCCCAGCCCAAGAACTAAAATATTACCAGTAACTTTCAACTACTTGTAAGGAGTCCCCTCCTTTACCACTGCCACCCCCTCAGAAGTAACCTCTATCCTGATTTGTGTTTACACAACTCTTAAATTAATTTCTTTTCACATTTATATGCATTATTAAGCAATATATTTTTATTAGTTTTGTGGTTTTGAACTTTCATCTAGTGTTCTGGACTTTTGTTTTCACAAACATGTTACTAAGTCTCTTAGTCCGTTCAGGCTGCTCTAACAAAATACCACAGATTTATAAACAACAGAAATTTATTTCTCACAGTTCTGGAGGCTTGAAGTCAGGGTGCCAGCATGGTCCAGTAAGGGCCTTCTTCCTGGGGACAGACTTCTCCTTGTGTGGTAGAGGGAGCTGGGGATCTCTGGGGGGGGGGTCTCTTTGATGAGAACACCAATGCTTTCATGAGGGCTCCACCCTCATGACCTAAGCATCCTCCAAGGGCCCCACCTCCTAACACCCTCACACTGAGCATTAGGATTTCAACACGAGATTTCTCAGGGGGCACAAACATTCAGACCACAGTGCTAAGATTCATCCTTCTTGTTGAGTAAAGTTGCATCTCATTCATTTTTGAAGCAGAGTACCTGAGGGTTACTGTAGATATTCAATAAGAACATGATTGCCTTTCAACCTTGTTCTCAACACAGACAGATGAATCTTGTCAATTTGCTCTTTTTCTTTTTTTAACCTCAGGGATGACTCAGGTCAGGAGGATTTGTGAGCTTGTTTTGGAGAAGAAAGAGAACGCCTTTGGGGAGGTTTCCATCACCTGGATGACCAGCATCCAACTGCCATTACTGCCCAGAAGTCAGATTGCCCATGGGATACTGTGGAGTGAAAGAAACACGGATGACCCCTTTGTTTCTCTGAAACTCCTACCGCCAAGCCCTTTAGCTCTATGAAACCCCCTGCTTTCTTCTCTTGTTAAGGTGGATTTGAGAGAACCCATCCTCCCACCTTCTTGTTTTGGCCAATTCAAATAAAACTTTTCTCCATCTCCAAGCACTGATGGCTCAGTGATTGGTTTACTTCTCTTGAGATTAAGAGGTTTGGTATCATTTTCACTGCTGCATAACAATCAATTATGTGAGTGTACCATAATTCATTTATCCAGTCTTCAGCTGCTGAACATTTATGCAATTTCTGGGTTGTTGCTATTTCCAGCAGTGCTGCTATGAGCATTGCCTTTTGTTGCTCACTACAAATGTCTCTCTTGGGTATGTTTACGTAAGAGTGGAATTGATGGGTCTTGCATAGGTCAGTGTTCAACTTTGTATGATAGTGCCAGATATTTATTCAAAGTGGTTATACTAGTTTACACTCCTCCCAGCATCCATATCTTCTCTAATGCTTCAGACTTCTTGATTTTTAGCAATGAAATGGGAGTTAAATGGTGTCTTATCCTGGCCTTATTGGCATAACCCTGAGGTTGAGCATATCTTTTATATTTATTGGCCATCTGCAGTCCCTTTTCTGTGAAAGGTCAGTGTTCCAGGTTGGAGGGATTTCAAGGCAGATGAAGGGAAAAGATATGACCATGAGGTGGCAGTAGCACACATAGCTTTATTTGGGGGAGCTTTGACAGATTTGCATGTGGGCAAAGTCCCCCACAGAACTAGACAATCCAGAGACAAATGGGTGGGGGGCATCCATAAGGAGAGAAGGCAAGGATATTCCCAGATGTTTAGGTGACATTGCTCAGCAGCCCAGCAGGAAATCTTTGGATCAGAAAGCTCCAAAGGACAGCAGCCGCTTGGGGTCTTTACAAGCATAGAATTTATCTTATTATCTATGACTAGCAAGTCTTGGGTACAGTTTTGTGAAGTATGCAGAGCAGGCAGGCAGCTCTAAATGGCTAAAAATCTGCTTACTGGGGCTATGTCTAAGACAACTGGATATGTAAAAATTTGAGTTTGGTACCGGTGGGCTTTTGACCTTTTAAGGTCCCAGCCTGCTGTGAAGAAATAAACAACCTAGGGGCCAATATACAGAGGCCATCCTTGGCTTGTTTTTATAATAGTCAGTTCCTGGCTTTTGCCCATCTTTTTTTTAGTGGATTGTTTGTCAAATTCTTTATATACTCTGAGCACTAATTCTTTGTCAGTTATGTGTGTTGCAAATTTCTTCTCTCATATATGGCTTGTCTTTTCAATTTCTATTTTGATAAATAGACGTTCTTAACTTTGAATTTATAAATCCATTTTTTTCTGTCCTAATATGTATTAACTTATTCTTACTTCTAAAAACATTTAGTTTTGCTTTTGACTTTTAAATCCTTATTCTCTCTAGAATTTACTTTTATTTATGGTGTGAGGTAGGGATACGATTTTACTTTATTAGATACAAATGCCTTTTTTTCCCCAGATTTGTTGACTAGCCGCATCTTTCCCAATTGATCCATCATGCCAAATTGGTCATATATCAACATTCCATTTATGTATGGGTCTGTTTCTGAGCTGTCTCTTCTGTTCCACTGAACAATTTGTCTATCTTAGTGCCACCACTGCACTGTTTAATTACCATAGCTTTATAAAAGTTCTTGATTATTTGGTAGGGAAAATCTTCCTTATTTTTCTTCTTCATCTGCTGTCTTGGCTATTCTTGGTCCTTTGTTTTTCCATACATATTTTAGAACAAGCTTCTGAGGTTGCACACACACATACATACACAATCTGTTGGGATTTTAATTGGCATTGCATTGAATATATAGATCAATTTGGAGAAAAATGACATCTTTGTGATTCTGAGTCTTCCAATTCATGAACAAGGGATGGCTCTCTTTTTTGTAGGTCTTCATTAATGTCTTTCATTATTTTTTGTGTCCAGATCTTGCATATCTTTTGTTGGGTTTATTCCTAGATACTTTGTAGGTTTTGTTGCTGTTGTAAACGGTGTCTTTTAAAATTATGCTTTCTATTGTAATAGATTGGACTTTGCATATTGATATTGTATCCAGCCATCTTGCTGGATACAATAACTTGTCTTTGATTCTAATAATTTGTCTATTATTCTTTCTGTTTTGTTTTCTTTTTTTTGAGGAAGATTAGCCCTGAGCTAACATCTACTGCCAATCCTCTTCTTTTTGCTGAGGAAGACTGGCCCTGAGCTAACATCCATGCCCATCTTCCTCTACTTTATATGTGGGATGCCTACCACAGCATGGCTTGACAAGTGGTGTCATGTCTGCACCTGGGATCTGAACTGGTGAACCCCTTGCTGCCGAAGTGGAATGTTCAAACTTAACAGCTGTGCCACCAGGTTGGCCCCTATTCTTTCTAATAATTTGTCTATTGATTCTTTTGGATTTTCTCTGTAAAGAATCATTATTTGAAAATAATGCCAGTTTTTTTCCCCTCCTGTAAAGCTCTTATTGCCTTTTATTTTTCTTAAATTATTATACCGGTTAGGCCTTCCAGTACAATGTTAATAGAAATGGTGATATTTTCTTGACATTCTTGACTTGATCCTGATTTTTGAAAAGGAAATTTAGAATTGTTTTTGTAGATTTTTTTTGATAAATAAATTTATGATGATGTTTTGGTAGGCTTTTTGTAAATCTCATTTGTCAGATTAAAGAAATTTCCTTTTATTTCTAGTTTACTGAAAGTTTTTTTTATCTTG